TCCCTTGTCGCTTCTCAAGCATTTGTTATTGTTTGATTTCTTGATATCAGCCACTCTCTCTAGAGTGAGATAGAATTTCAGTGTTGATTTAATTTTCATTTCTCAGATGGAATGGCCAGTGATGTTGAACATTTTTTTCGTGGTTATATTAGCCATTTGTACTTTTTCATCAGAGGAGTGTCTGTTCATTTCAGATGCCCGTTTCTTCAATGGGGTCTTTGAATTTGGGAGATACCTATTATTCTTTGCCTCAGTTTTTAACACTTGAGATGATGCTGTGGCCAAGGGCAAGACCACAGGTCCACTGTGCCAGCACCTTAAATTCCCTGCCTTTTCTTCTTGCAGAGCTCCCCCGGCCTTCCTGCCTAGTCATGGGCTCAGAGACAGTGACAGGATGACCCCCACAGCCCACACTTCTGCAGGCAATCTGTGTTCTTACATGGGATTTCTGCAAAGGCATCACTCACCTCTCCTATATTTTATACAAAGCCTTCGAATCTTAAAGAACCATTGGCTTCACTGCTGAAAAACTGAACATGACAGGCACAGTCTATATGGTTTGAGATAGTTGGTAGTACGGTTTCATTTTCTTTGCCATCTTCAAGTGAACAATTCCTGAAATTTTCAGATCAAGAAAGGTGATAATCCAAGGCCTCTGCATCTCCACTTTAATTGATAAAAGAGATGACAATTGAAGCTTAGAATTTGGTTCTGTAGCCAAGGGATTAGAAGATCAGTATTGATGGGTTGTCCAAATAAATTTTGGCAAAAAAAGCTTCAGCATAGCAAAGATGATACTGACTGTAGAAGACCAAATCCCCTTAGTAGTCTAGGTACCTGGCCAGGTCTTGGGTTACTTCAACTGTAATCCAAATAACAGCCATCTCTGATGAGGCCTATGAACCTCACCTTACCAAGCAGGAATGAGAAAAAAGAGCATCTAAAAGGTGAGGGGACAGGATGGTAAATCACAGAGCTTGCATTCAGATCAGACTGAGTTTAATTCCCTACTGGCCCACCATTTTTTCTGTAGATGTTAATGTTAGATCTAAAAACAAAATTTTGCTTCAGTTGCAATTTCAGCAAACCCTACTACTATTCTTCTGTCCTCCCTGCCCTGTTCATAGTGCTTCTTTCTCAGTGTCTGTTTTAATAACTCCAGTGGTCTCCTTTTCCATCAGTCAGTTCCGTTCTTCTCCCTGGATCACTTGTTATCAGTATCTATTCTTAATCAGTCTTTCACAGAAATTGGTAAGAGATTTTTGGGTTAAAAGAGAGCCTTTTGAGGGGTACACATATAGCTGTAGTACTGGCATAAGTATTTGGTCTAGCCAAGTTCCCATGTTTTGTGCCAGAACCAACTTCAAAACCTTGGAAATTTGACCACAACATCCTTTAAACCACAGCACTCACACACAAAACAAAAGGAAGAACCACACTGGAAATCCACATATTCTTTTGGTCTGTGAATTCCCTCCCTCCTTGCAGCACCTCTCCTGGCCCTGCTCCTCTTCTTGCTGTGTCTGCCTCTGGCTTTGTTGATGACCCTCAGGAGAAGCATGAGAACGCAGTCTCCAACCTTGCTATGTATTTGTCTCTGCCCTTCCAAGGGCAGCTCTCTGCCAAGGTCTGCGTTTCACTCCCAGCCCTGTTGGCGTGGTCAGTAATGCTGTCAGACAGCAGTTTCATCTTTTGTGTTTACTGAAACTGATTTTCAAAAGTTTTTATCTTCTCAAAACAAGGCTAGAGTGTCTATTTCCACATGACCATCAGAAATCTTCGAATAGATGATGGATAGTCTCAGTCGTGCAAACTAATGAGACACAGTTGAGATTCTGCATAAATTCAACGTAGCAAGTCGCATGATCTCCAAACTCAATTTCCTCATTCTTTCACCCATCTTTTTCCCATTCTGAAATTGTGTTTTCAACCTGAGCTCTGGTGGCCCTTTGTGGTGCCTTGGTTCCTGGGCTTGCCACACCCTGTGGAAATCGTCTGTGTGGTCCTGCCTCTGGCAGGTATGTTTTGAGTTTCCATCTCCCTTACAAAGCTTCTCCCTGTACCCCAAGCCTGGTGCAGACAGAACTGCCCAGAAAATGTTTCCGGCAGGAGACTTGAAAAGCTGGTGTTTACATAACATGAAATCACGAAGTCATTCCAAATTGTGAGAAAGCTGACATTGATAGGGTGCTCTTTGAAAGATGTCATGATTAAAGAGGGGACCTGTCTTCCTGGTGACCCTGACCCTGGGTTGAGGCTGTTCCACGTGGGGCTTCCCCTGAGATGCAGGGCTTTGGGGGCCCAGACTCGTGGCCAGTGGTTACAGATGTCAGGAGGCCGCTTTACCACATTAGGCTTGACTCGACTTTCCAGCCGTCTAGAAAGGTCGAGCAACTTCTCTCTCCCGGGACTGTTAACGGCTTGAGTCAGCGGAGCATATTCAGTGCAGGATTGAATTGAGGCACAGATGTCTTAGTAAAAAAAGAAGAGAGCACCAGCATGTAGACCCACATCCTCACACATACGTAGCCTGTCTTTCTGCCTTCTTTGCTTCTCCACTGATTTTATAGAAACATTAAATAAAAATAGGGTAATAAAATTCGCACCACAAGAAGTCATATTACGTAGCATTTATAGATGCTAAGTATACGTTTGTTTTAAAGACTATAAAAAGGCATTATGATGAGAGCTTCATAAAGTTCCAAGTTGCCAGCAGATAGGGTCATCTGACTTTGTACCCTACAAATACAGTATTATTTTTGGCTAGGCATGGTCTTCCATAGGACTCAATTTATTTGGTAGCACTGAGAACTTAAGCCAAAGACACCATAAAGTCTAACTGGTGTTTCAGAAATCTTTTTCTGACAGCCGTGTGGGAGATAAACTGCAAGATGAGAGAAAGCTGGAAGATTCCAGGAATGGGAATAAAGCCAGACTTCTTGTTCTCAAATAATTTTATTGTGGTCCCAGGAAACTATTCTGGGACCTTGAAGATCCTGGGTGTCATATCTTCTGCCTAGTGGGACTGGATGGGGGAGAAACTAGCTTTTATGGGGTAGGAGAGTTTGTAAGGAACAAGTGGGTACTCTGAGAGGCTGAGGCAGGAAGATTACAAGTTCCAGCCCGGCCCGGGCAACTTAGTGAGATGCTATCTCAAAAATGGGGGATGATGCTGGGGATATAGCTAGTGTGAAGGCCCTAGGTCCAGTCTCCAGTAACCACACACACACACACACACACACCAGTCCAAATGGTCCTGCCTCTTTATTTTACAGGTGGAGAAGAGCCAAGGTCAAATGAAGGAAGTGACCTCTCCATAGTCCCCGAGTCAGCTGTCAATGTGCATAGGGAATCGGTGTCTGCCCGCAACCAGGAGGGTGGTCCATCTACACAGCCTGCCTGTCTGGGAGACTTTTGAAGACCCTGACACTGTGGGCAGCAGGATCAAATCCCAGCTCCTTGTTTTAAGCTGTAGTCTGGGTCACCATGCTCCTTCTTTGCTGTGGGGCCCACAATCATTTTTGGCCTAGCCTATAGATTTTGGGAACCTTTTGGTAGGGCCTGACCAGGACCAGGACTGGGAGTCTGTGGGGCTGCCCTGCTGTCCATGAGGGAGGCTGCCTGAAGCTGCCACATCCCAGTGCTGGGGCAGCCAGCACACTTCCCGGGTGCATCTTTCCCTGCCTCAAATCTGCCCTGGCTTTATTTTCAGGGTCTGTCTTTCCTGAGCCACACTCTGGCTTCACAGAGCTGCTTAAATGATCTCTGCGAAGTCAACAGAAAGCCAGCCTCTTTCATTGATAATTTTCATTCTTTCTCCGCAGGACCAGGTGAGGGCCACACCTAGCCCAGGAGTGTGGGAGCTGGGGCTCACCAGAAGCCTAGGGACTGAGAGAGGAGAGAGAATCCTCCCAGAAGAAAACCAGATGCTCACTACAGAGAGAAGGAAGGTCCAGCTTGAATAGACAAACTGGCCTGTGGCTTTTCTCCCTAACTTCTCTCATCCTAGTCTGGAGTCCTGGCCCTGCAGACCCTTGGCTTCACGGCCCCCTAGATCAGCCGATCACCTTTCCTCCTTCAGATGGGAGTTCGTCATCCTCTTGTCCCAGAGATGGCTCGTGCAGACCAGGACCTGCTGCTGCTGTCCCTGTGACTCTGAACCTGAGAAAGGAGCAGGTACATTCCCTGCATGCCGTGCTGGTGTCTGAGCCCATGTACTCTTCCTTCCCCAGATCCCTGGTCTAGGAGGAGGAATAAGGACACACCTAGCCGGCGTCAGATGTTAATGTCACCCATGGATCTTGAGGCCTGGCCCCAGGCTCTTGTGCCCTTTGCACTATTCCAAGGAGCCAACCACCCTTGGAAATGGAACAAAGAAATGAGCACAAAGCAGCAGCCCCGAGTGTGAATGTGTCAGGCAGGCTCCCATCCGAAGAGGAGAATCAAACAGCAGAGCGGAGGCTGCCGCTGGGTGTTGTCGTTATCGGCGGGCACCAGTGTACTGCCATCCCCGGAGCGGGCTCTTTGACATGCGGGGGAAGGACTGACTTCATTAACTTGCGTGGGAGTGAGGCGGGAGACGTCCCTGGGAAATTCTGGCAGCCGAGCAGGGAGAGGATGGCGATGGTGTGTTTCATATTGGACTTGGCATTCATGGGAGTGATGGCCGTGTTCAGAAGAGATCAGGTGGCACTTCCAGTTTGTCTGCAAGAGTCTAATTACTGACCTGACACCCATTGCTTCAGATAGGCCCGAGAAGCAGCTAACTGGTGTACAGTAGCATCTGGGGATGCGATGACTCTGTCAGCCCCTTAGCCACGTGGTGCCCTGTCATCAGACACTTTTTCGCCTTGATATTCTTAAAATGTAGAGTTACCAACCGGAGCAATTTAAAATGATCTATAGTTATTTTTGACTGCTCTCCTGTCGAGGGAGAACTTCATAAATGATGTCACAATAAACGGAATGTGAGAGAAATCTCAGAGACGAAATTTGTAAGGGTAGAGACTGCGGGAGCAAGAGAAAGATCATCGCTGGGGCTCCGGGTGCTAATGAATTAACGGGGAAGCGGAGTTAATGAGTCCTGAGGAGGAGCTCTTGTCAGAAGTTCCGAGGTAATAGTGAGGAGTTATGGGCTGGAGGCAGATGCAGACATGCCGAAGGGCCCCTACGGCTCCGGAAAAGGAAGGGGGAAGTGAGGTGGGTGAGTCCCAAACCAGATAAAGACTTGGGAAGACAGAGAGGGTGGTAGAGAGAAATGAGATCCCCAGGGCTTGGGAGAGATGTTCAAGCTGATGATGGAGATAGTGGACAGTCCCCAGGAAGCTCATGAACGTTCATGTTTTAGGTACTGGAAGTCGAGAGAGCAGGGTCCTCCACAACTGCTTCCAAATTAGTAGGAACCCTCTCCAAGATAGCGGGAGGGTGATGGAAGGAAAGGAGGAAAGCGAGGGCCTCCATCTTGGTTTGGGGCCACTAGGGGATTTAAAACTGGGCTTTGAATGAATTTCGTATTGTTTTTGCCTTTGACAGAGAAAGGATTTAAAACACAGGGAGGTTTAATTATTTGCCCCAGGCTCACACAAACACAGCTGCCAAGTGGGGTAACTGGCTCCAGCGAAGGTCTCTGGGCTTAGCTGTGAAGAGTGTAGATGCCCTTCTTGCAGGCTCAGAGAGCTCACAGCATAAGAGGGGAGGCTGACACAGTCACCCCAAAGACTCCATATGGACCAGGATTGGAGTGGGACTGCCTCAGACTTACCTCCAATCCTCTGTCCAGAAGGAAGGCTATCTTCCCTAGTTGTGGACATCAACTAGGATCAAGGTTGTGAAATGGTTGGCTGAACTCCACAGATCTCAGGAATCTTACGGAAGTCTTCCACACCGTTCTCTGAGGCCTTGGAAGGACAATGCTGCCCAACTGATTTAGATGAAATATGAAGTAGGCCATCTTGGTTGTTCAGATACCAATAACATCTGCTACATTCAAGATCCCCACAGCTTTCTTCAATATGCCTTTCATTTCTTTCACTTCTTTCCATAGCGACCTGCCAGGGTGGCACTGAAGAGCTAAGTCAGAAATGGGCTCAAGGAGTCCTCAGCCTGGGGAGGAAGGAGGGAGCCGACCGTCTCTTGTTTGGTCTTCAGTCGTGATACACAATGTTTTCTCTTCTCAGTGTCTTCACATATGTTTTCCTCCTCATGTCCTCCACACACTTCTGTCTTGTAAAGCTCTGTCTTGCTCAGGGGAATGTCCCCGACTGCACGAAGCTGGGGAGATGAGACCAACTCCAGGGTCACCATTGGATGCCACTCCCACATTCTGTGGTGGCCTCACTGCCTGCTGGTCATTTCCAGTGTTTTGTCCACCCCAAGAGAGCAGCTGAGTCTGATCCCACATTGAAGACCCAGCACCAATACTGTGGCCCGCATAAATACAATTCGAGAAACATTTGTTGCTTTTATCAATTAACATCTTAGTGTTCAAATAAGTGGGTGCTTTTTTTCCAAGCACCCCATCTAAAACCTAAATGAAAGCTGACTTCTCCTAAATAATGAATGGTAGTTATTTTATGAGTCCCACGCCCATTTCAGAGTCTATCACATTTTCCATGTCCTCTAAGAAGTTTAGAGTTCACTTTTAGGAAAGTGGGAAACCATGTGGTTTACATTTCTAGTTTCTCACCTAAGCAATAGTTTTTTTCTCCCCCCTGCTTCTTACTACAGTATTGCACTGATTTCTTCCTCTTTTATGTCTTCCTGTAGCCACATCACTTCAGTTTTTCAGAGAACAGGCTCTATAAACTTCTATTTAAGTAATCTGGATAGCTATCCTCTTTAAACTGTTTGGTCATTGATGGTAGATTCAGCACACGTCCTAATGATAACCTTCCCTCCCTCCTTCTCCCTGAGGGTTTCTTAGACAAAATACGGTATTGCACACAAGCACGTTTAGATGAAAAATCCTATCGTTGGTGATAACTTCGAATGATAGAATCTTAATAAACTTTCTGTGTTTGATTGGCTGGGATAACGAGAGATACATATCATGTATGATAGCTGCACGACAGAAGATAAGCTGGTCATCATTTTCAGATAAAAATGCCCATCCATCCACAGATTGCAATCAGACTGCTGCCATGAAGTTCTCAGTGTATTCCAGTTAATTAAATGCTAAATGAAACCCAGAGCTCTGGCTCCTAGAACTTTTGCAATCTGTCGCCGCGTGTTACAGAGGCTCAGGATACAGCCTGAAGGTTTTGCTGTGTGGCTAGTAGCTGCTGAGAAAATATTCTTGTCCTGGCCAGCTCTCTTTCCTGAACTCCTGCAATGCTAAATGGATGACGTCTGAACTCTCTTCTTCCTTTGATAGCTGAGGTCCCAGCTGTTGGCCAGCGGGGGGTGGGGCTGGGGGCTGGGG